CTATTTATTGAGGATTTTTTTTTTCAAAGTTCAATAAGTATTTATTTAAAAATTTTATGAAGAATTTTGTTATTATAATAATTTTATATATAATTAAGATAGGATATAAGCAAATAATGTTTACAAAATCTAAATGTTTGAAGAGAGAAATGGAATACCTGCACTGGTTGGTGGTTTATGGAGAAAAGGGGATTGCCAATGTTGATGCATTTCAGCCAATTTGTTCCAAGCTTCGTTGGCAGAACTGATATCCTTTATTAAAGTAAAAACATGTGGTGAACATGTCATGTGAATTGCATGTAGAGCTGCAGCATTCTTTTTCGTCTGATCAACCTTGTCTGAAGAAAGAAGAGCATCAGTACCCTTTTCGACCACGTCCCAAAGATCTTGAGCCAACAGATAGTTTTTAAGGAAAATTGTCCAATGTTCATACTTATCACGTTCGAGAAGAAATGGAACAATTGTATCGGAAGCACCATTTGTTGCCATTTCAAATCTATATCAAACCATCACCAAAAATAAAAAGCATCTAAATCAGTTCCTCTGCTCTTATTTAGCAATCATAATTCATAAATAATATTAAAGCAATCTGAATATTTACTAGAAGTACTACACTTAGTTAATTCATGAAGAATCGAATATTGGAAGAGATTTGGGAAGAAAAGAACAAGGAATAATCAAGATGTATATATGATACCAAATCTCAACAGCAACATGATACCCAATAAAAATGAAAGTACATATTAATTCATGCGCTAGTAAAATCATCTGATGTATAATTATAAAGCCGCCAGTACGAATAATCATCAGTTGAATTAAAAAAGAAAAAGAAAGCTAGTATGGTACGCAACAAGATTACGAGGGGAATAAAGGAAGAGATTGTGGGAAGAAAAGAACAAGGAATAATCTATTCTTTTAAAGTCTTGAAGACCAAAAAGAGAAGATTATTGAATACTGATGAGTACACACTTCATTTTAATACTTATTAAAAAATTATTTTTTTTTGAAATTAAAAATAAATAAACTTAAGAACATAAATATATATATAAAATGTAAAAATTAGCTAAATCAATTCTATTTATATTATATTTTAATAATTGAATCAAGACGAATGTCAAAAAATATGTTAAACCTGATGTGTATCAATTATTTTTCTTTTATCATCATCATCATCAAAAAAATGTTTTACATGATGGACTATACATTAAAAGTGCAATCCATCCTATGAATTTTACTAAAATACCTTTAATTTCATAGAATAGACTACACTTTTAACATATAGTTGAATTGTAAAACATAAATAACATAAATTTCGATTATTATTATTATTATTATTTTGTTTCATAGTTCCAAAAGGAGGAGAAAAAGAGGCAAAACATAAGCTAAAAATAGAGAGTATAACACTCCAACTCAAGTTTCTCCCTAACAAGCTGTTGACACCGCACTTAAAATTTCAAAAATAAATAAATTAAATTTGAAAATTTAAGTTTTAATGGTTGAGAATAAGAGTTGACACTCATTAAAATTATAAAGGAAGACAAGTCACTTAAAATGATTTTGTAGAGATCAAAGTCCAAAGATATAATTAGGAGTGAGAGATATACACCTCACAATCTTCTCTATAAACACAATTGCATGCTTTGACATTTTTGCAAAATTATTTCAACATATAAAACATTCTTTTAAGTTCACGGCCTTAAATGAAATGAATCAGACGTGACGGTTATGTGTGTGAAAATTAAAAGTTTTGGGTCAAGATGCCAACGGGCTTGCTAGGCTGTTGGGCTTTAAGGGAGTATGGCCCATTTCATTTTAATCCTTCTTTCTTTCTTTCTTTTTTTTTCTCTGACAACCCAAAAATAAAGTAAACAAATAAGGGAGAGAGCGGGGAGTAAGCCAGAAAGCGGCGGAATTCCAGACTCCGGCGGGACAAAATGCAGTTTTTCGTTGAAGGTCTACCCAGTCCCAACCCACAAACTTTAATTTTTCTTCCCACACTTTTTCAAAGAAAAGAAGCGATTCCCCTGTATTTTTCCTAACTTTACTTTTACAACTTTCTTACTAACTTTTTCCCATACAAAAATTAAGAGAAATTGTTAGGAAAGAGATGAAACATCCCAGAAAATTCTCAACGTATTGCACAGTACTTATTAACTTTATTATTCGAACAACACTTTCTGAGATCCCAGAAAAGTTAATCCTCTATCCGAACAGCCCTAAAACTAGAACAAAATTCAACGTTTCATTTCAGTAACTGTACTGAAATTACATAATGATCAAAAAGAAAGAACAAAGGAGGGAAATTGTTACCTAGCGCTTAGGGCTTCCTCTCTTCTATCCATGAGCCTTTCCTCCTTTTCTATCCAGAAATTAAGATAAGAAAACGGAACCGAAGACAATGGCAGCAAAAGCAGACAGCTGCACAAAATGACAGCAAACTTCTACATCATAATTAATGTTTTAGATAATAGTTACTGTATCGTTACGTTTCTCGAATTTAATGGCAGAAAATGAATAAAGAAAAAGGGTTAAAGCCAACTGCCTCCCTCTACTATGAAGAAAAATTCAATTTAACCCTTCTACAATGAACTCGCCTCATATCCTCCCTCTACTTTATTTCAGCTTTACATGTTCTCCCTTTACCATTCAAAAAGTGCTGAATTTCGTCCCTCCGTACATTTCATGGCTAACGGAGTGTTTCTGACAGTTAAGAGCAAGACGGTCAGACGTTTGCAAGCTTTTTTTATTCTTTTCTTTGAGCCTGGCATTGTGGGACTTACATCTTCCAACACCTTTTCCACGAGCTTGTACCTTCCCTATCGGAGAAATTTTACAAACAGTGTGCCAGTCCGAGAAGGACCGGTGGCGTGCAGTAAAAAAATTGTTTTTTTGTCCAAGTTTAAATTTTTAAGGACAATTATAATTTTTTTTAATATCTTTTTGCTAAAAACAAAAAAAAAAAAAAACAACAGTCTGTCCCACTTAACACTACAAACAAGAAATTTGCTCCTGACAAAATAACAATTCCCACGCCTACACCCCCATCAACTAGTGCAATGTAGGAAGGGTAATAATAGTGGGATCGAAGATTTGGGGTTTGTTATATATTATATTATTAAATTAATTGATATATATAATGTTATA